GGGGTGGTATTTTGCTGTGGGGGTTCATTGTTGCTGGGGGAATCTATTGTTGCTGGGGTGGTATTTTGCTGTGGGGGTCAATTGTTGCTGGGGGAATCTATTGTTGCTGGGGAGTTATTTTGCTGTGGGGGTCCATTGTTGCTGGGGGAATCTATTGTTGCTGGGGTGGTATTTTGCTGTGGGGGTCCATTGTTGCTGGGGGAATCTATTGTTGCAGGCTGCATGGGATCTATTTTACCGCTTTTCTTGTTATCATTAACAAATTCCATACAGAATTATACTTGGCTCTGTATTGGACAGTGCTTGGAGGTGGGTAGGGGGGCAGAAACAAGGGTGAGTCAGAAGGGGGGAGGTTCTTGCACCTATTCTCTGAGAATAATAGCCCTGCTTAGGTGTGTTTTTTTTTAGGCTACTTTTACCTGCCAGGAGTAAACGACGTTCAGAGGAGAAATCAAGCAGGCCATAGACGAGCCGAAATCTGGACAAACATTCTTGGTCATTCGTTTTTCACAGCGATTTCCGTGTCGCAATCGAAAGTGCCTGATCCAACTTGCTGGATTTTGTTTAGAAAAGTGAAACAAAGGATGGCACAATCATATGCCTCATTTTCGTTTTTCAAAAGACAGAACGTTCGGTATTTGACTCATCTATGGCCGTCCTTAGAGAGGTTATGGGTTTACTCACATTTTCATGTAATTAGAGATGGAGGATCATAGCGGAGGAGGTGGAAGTAATTCATTCTTTGCGCATATGGATCGCACATTTCACAGATATGTAGAAATCTTTTTGTGTGATTCGCTGATCTAGGCCCCTTTGACATGACGGGTTTGACCAGCTCCACCTGTCAGTTGGACCTATTCGGATGGTTTATTCCCCCCTACGGACAGGCAGGTGTAAACGGACTTGTGTCTGTTTCAGGGGCGGACAAACTCATGGGGCCCCCGGGCAATAGGGGATCATGGGGCCCCTGTGTCCTCGCCCACACTCAGAAAAGCCTATGAAAAAGGTACCAGGGGCATCTCATGGGGCCCCCTACTGACCCCCCGGGCCCTCGGGCAGTGCCCGAGTTTCCAAATGGTCAGTCCGCCCCTGGTCTGTTTACACCTGACTACCTCTGGGTTCGATCCAGTCTGCTATAAATAAACAAGAGGATTCGTCCTTTTCCATTTAGGCAGATCAGATTGGAGGACAGTCGGGTGTCAACAGACAGCGGGGTTGTGTCTGTGTCTGCTCCCCACTGACTGAACAGACATAGACCTGTCATTTGCCCGCTCTGCGCCAATCAACAGGGAATCTGTGAGCGGACCCCCTTCCGATTCCACCCTGTGTAAAGGGAGCCTAGAAGAACAGAGAACACTCTACAAAGTGTATCCTTTTTTATGTACTAATTTGTTACATATTTCTTTCTGCGTTCTGCAGGAGCCCTTCACACCCCTCTGATATGAAATCTGTGGTGGATCACTTTTCAGAGGGTGTTTGACACATCACCACCTGATTTAACCCTGTAAATGCTCCATAGGCTTGCATTGGTCACTTTCGTCCTATTCCTGTTGAATAGGATATGCTATCTCATTTTTGTCATAGTTGCAAAGCACACAGCCACTGCATGTGTACAGCACTGAGCGGCGGCATGTCAGTGTTCAGGTGGGCGATCAGAAGGCGGTAAAACCGTGCCTCAACCAGAACTTTTTTTTCCGGAGAATAGGTGCAGGAACTCCTCCTTTCTGAGTAACCCCTTGTCTCCAGCCCCCCTACCCACCTCCAAACATCGTTCCCTTGGATCCACCCCCTACGCACCTCCTAGCACCACCCCTTTTAGAGAATATAGAATCAAGTATCATTTTATGGTGTTAAGTAATTTGTATAGAATTTGTTATTGATAACAAGAAAAGCAGAAAAATAAATCCCCTACAGCCAACAACAATAGATCCATCCATAAACAATAACCACCCTAGTAACAGTGATCCCCCACAACAATAGACCCTCTAGCAACAGTGGACCCCCTACAACAATAGACCCTCCAGCAACAGTGGACCCCCTACAACAATAGACCCTCTAGCAACAGTGGACCCCCTACAACAATAGACCCTCCAGCAACACAGTGGACCCCCTACAACAATAGACCCTCTAGCAACAGTGGACCCCCTACAACAATAGACCCTCTAGCAACAGTGGACCCCTACAACAAAAGACCCTCCAGCAACAGTAGACCCCCTACAACAATAGACCCTACAGCAACAGTGAACCACCTACAACAATAGACCCTACAGCAACAGTGGACCACCTACAACAATAGACCCTCTAGCAACAGTGGACCCCCTACAACAATAGACCCTCTAACAATAGTAGACCCCCTACAACAAAAGACCCTCCAGCAACAGTGGACCACCTACAACAATAGACCCTCCAGCAACAGTGGAACCCCTACAATAATAGACCCCCAGCAACAGTGGAACCCCAAAAAAATAGACCCTCCAGCAACAGTGGACCCCCTACAATAGACCCTCCAGCAACAGTGGACCCCCTACAACAATAGACCCTCTAGCAACAGTGGACCCCCTACAACAATAGACCCCATAGCAACCGTGAACCACCTACAATAATAGATCCTCCAGCAACAGTGGACCCCCTACAACAATAGATCCTCCAGCAATAGTGGACCGCCTACAACAGTAGACATCCCCCCAGGAACAATAGGACCCCCAGTAACAACAGACCAACCTCAACAACATACCCCCCCACCCCAGTAACAATAGCCTTATGACAGCAACAACAGATCTACCTGCAGCCAATATCAATATACTCCCTTCCCTCTAAAGTAGATTCCTCACAGTAACAATTGACCCCCAAGCAACAACAGATCCTCCACCAGCAACATTAGATCTCCCCAGCAGCAATAGCCCAAGCAAAAATAGATCCCTCCAGCGAGAGTTGATCCCCCAGCAGCCAGCATCAATAGTCTCTGCAGTACACCCCAGCACCCTCTGCCATTACATACATTCTGTGCTGGAGGTGCTGGAACTGCGTTCCCCCGCATTCCTGCTGAAAAAAGTCCTGGGCTCAACCACCTGGCTTTACTGCCCCCAAGCTCCACGTGTCAAAGCCTTAGAGAGCATTTTATGAACTGAATTTTTTTTCTTTTGCAAAATTTGTATTGGATTTTATTATAAATGAGATACAAGCCTTAGAGCCTGTGCTGAACAAACTTACACAAAATCGCATTTTCCATGTTACAGTTTTATTTTGGTTTTCTACACCCCGACTTTTATTATATCATCTAAAGGTCAATTGTCTGTTCTGGCAAACTGCAGACCCAACCAATGAATTTATCCATCTGTACCGCCTATCAGTGCCCATTAGCGCCGCCTATCAATGTCCATCAGTGCCGCCTATTAGTGCCCATTATGCTTCATATCAGTGCAGCATATCAGTGCCTCCTCATCAGTGCAGCCTATCAGTGCCCATCAGTGCTGCCTATCCGTGCCACCTCATCAGTGCCCATCAGTGCTGCCTATCAGTGCCACCTTATATGTGCCCATCAGTGCTGCCTATCAGTGCCACCTCATCAGTGCCCATCAGTGCTGCCTATCAGTGCCACCTCATCAGTGCCTATCAGTGCTGCCTATCCATGCCACCTCATCAGTGCCCATCAGTGCTGCCTATCCGTGCCACCTCATCAGTGCCCACCAGTGCTGCCTATCCGTGCCACCTCATCAGTGCCCATCAGTGCCTCCTCATTAGTGCAGCCTATCAGTGCCCATCAGTGCTGCCTATCCGTGCCACCTCATCAGTGCCCATCAGTGCTGCCTATCAGTGCAGCCTCATCAACGTACATCAATGAAGGAGAAAAAATTACCTGTTTGCAAAATTTTATAATAGCAACAAAAAAAACTTTTTTTTCTCAAATTGTTTGCTCTTTTTTTGTTTATAGCGCAAAAAAATCAAAACTCCAGTAACGATTAAATACCACCAGAGAAAGCTCTATTTCTATAAAAAAAAATATACAAATTTCATATGGGTACAGTGTTGCATGACCGCGCAATTTTCATTCAAAGTGCAACAGCGCTGAAAGGTGAAAAGTGGCCTGGGCAGGAAGGGGGTATACTGTAAGTCCCCAGTAGGCAAGTGGTTAAACAGGGTATACACTCGTAGAATGCATTAGTTTTCTTTTTTAGGTTTTGTTTCTTTTATTTTCATCTGGTGATGCAGCCAGTAACTCTGCTGTTTTTCAAAAGAACAAGCTCTCTTTCACATGTATCAGTTTACAGGGATAAGACAAACCATTTACCACTGGCAGGGGTCACAGCCAGATTTCGACCTTGGGGGGGCCTTCAGGTTCACACACAGAGTTGGTTTACTCTCTCAGTGACAGTCACACGTTTTGCATGTCACAACGCCACACATGCACACATACAGGTAATAATAGTGCTCTATGCGTGGTTCACTTCAGCTGCCAAAATTTGTTTTTTAAAAACGATACAATTTACCAGTCCAGAGTAGTAACTTTTACACATGATGGCCAGCAAAATATTACTTCCCAAGATACATTTATTAAAAAAGTAATTTTTTATTATTATTATTATTATTATTATATACTTTATATTAGTTTATTATTGTTTTTTATTATTTTATGTAATTTTTTAATATTTGTTTTATATTATTTTTGTATAGAGGGGGGCTCATCTTGTCTGGGAGGCGCAGGGCAGTTGTGCATTTTGCCCCCCCTTATAAATATGGCACTGACAGGGGTGCTTACATTGATCAGCTTTTATTTATTTATGTAAAATCCCAAAAGAAAAAAAAAACTGCTGTAACTGCTTATAAAGCGTGAGCTGGAGTTCGGCTTCAACTTGTTACTGTATTTAAAGTGTTACTAAACCAAGGACCCCCGCATTCACTATATCTGGACTCCCCGGACCCTGCATTCACTATATCTGGTCTCCCCGGACCCTACATTCACTATATCTGGTCTCCCAGGACCCTGCATTCACTATATCTGGTCTCCCCGGGCCCTGCATTCACTATATCTGGTCTCCCAGGACCCTGCATTCACTATATCTGGTCTCCCAGGACCCTGCATTCACTATATCTGGTCTCCCCGGACCCTGCATTCACTATATCTGGTCTCCCCGGACCCTGCATTCACTATATCTGGTCTCCCCAGACCCTGCATTCACTATATCTGGTCTCCCAGGACCCTGCATTCACTATATCTGGTCTCCCAGGACCCTGCATTCCCTATATCTGGTCTCCTCGGACCCCCCGGGCCCCTGCATTCCCTATATCTGGTCTCCCAGGACCCCGCATTCACTATATCTGGTCTCCCAGGACCCCGCATTCACTCTATCTGGTCTCCCTAGACCCCGCATTCACTATATCTGGTCTCCCTAGACCCTGCATTCACTATATCTGGTCTCCCCGGACCCTGCATTCACTATATCTGGTCTCCCCGGGCCCTGCATTCCCTATATCTGGTCTCCCCGGACCCTGCATTCACTCTATCTGGTCTCCCAGGACCCTGCATCAGCTATATCTGGTCTCCCAGAACCCTGCATTCACTCTATCTGGTCTCCCAGGACCCTGCATCCACTATATCTGGTCTCCCAGGTCCCTGCATTCACTCTATCTGGTCTCCCAGGACCCTGCATTCACTATATCTGGTCTCCCACAGTACACACAACATGGAAATGCAATTATTTTAGTAAATATAAACTGCTAAATACCTTTTCTCATCAGCAGTTAGAGCAGTCTTGTGACTTTCATCAGTGTTCAGCAGAGCACTAGTTAAAGCTTGTAGGAGGAGTTTTTCTTTCTGCTCTAGGAGAATGCAGAATCTTGTCTGGGAGGCGCAGGGCAGTTGTGCATTTTGCCCCCTTATAAATATGGCACTGACAGGGGTGCTTACATTGATCAGCTTTTATTTATTTATGTAAAATCCCAAAAGAAAAAAAAAACTGCTGTAACTGCTTATAAAGCGTGAGCTGGAGTTCGGCTTCAACTTGTTACTGTATTTAAAGTGTTTACTAAACCAAGGACCCCGCATTCACTATATCTGGACTCCCCCGGACCCTGCATTCACTATATCTGGTCTCCCCGGACCCTACATTCACTATATCTGGTCTCCCAGGACCCTGCATTCACTATATCTGGTCTCCCCCGGGCCCTGCATTCACTATATCTGGTCTCCCAGGACCCTGCATTCACTATATCTGGTCTCCCCGGACCCTGCATTCACAGTGACAGTCACACGTTTTGCATGTCACAACGCCACACATGCACACATACAGGTAATAATAGTGCTCTATGCGTGGTTCACTTCAGCTGCCAAAATTTGTTTTTTAAAAACGATACAATTTACCAGTCCAGAGTAGTAACTTTTACACATGATGGCCAGCAAAATATTACTTCCCAAGATACATTTATTAAAAAAGTAATTTTTTATTATTATTATTATTATTATTATATACTTTATATTAGTTTATTATTGTTTTTTATTATTTTTATGTAATTTTTTAATATTTGTTTTATATTATTTTTGTATAGAGGGGGGCTCATCTTGTCTGGGAGGCGCAGGGCAGTTGTGCATTTTGCCCCCTTATAAATATGGCACTGACAGGGGTGCTTACATTGATCAGCTTTTATTATTTATGTAAAATCCCAAAAGAAAAAAAAAAATCTGCTGCTGTAACTGCTTATAAAGCGTGAGCTGGAGTTCGGCTTCAACTTGTTACTGTATTTAAAGTGTTACTAAACCAAGGACCCCGCATTCACTATATCTGGACTCCCCGGACCCTGCATTCACTATATCTGGTCTCCCCGGACCCTACATTCACTATATCTGGTCTCCCAGGACCCTGCATTCACTATATCTGGTCTCCCCGGGCCCTGCATTCACTATATCTGGTCTCCCAGGACCCTGCATTCACTATATCTGGTCTCCCAGGACCCTGCATTCACTATATATCTGGTCTCCCCCGGACCCTGCATTCACTATATCTGGTCTCCCCGGACCCTGCATTCACTATATCTGGTCTCCCCAGACCCTGCATTCACTATATCTGGTCTCCCAGGACCCTGCATTCACTATATCTGGGTCTCCCAGGACCCTGCATTCCCTATATCTGGTCTCCTCTGGACCCTGCATTCCCTATATCTGGTCTCCCAGGACCCCGCATTCACTATATCTGGTCTCCCAGGACCCCGCATTCACTCACTCTATCTGGTCTCCCTAGGACCCCGCATTCACTATATCTGGTCTCCCTATACCCTGCATTCACTATATCTGGTCTCCCCCGACCCTGCATTCACTATATCTGGTCTCCCCGGCCCTGCATTCCCTATATCTGGTCTCCCCGGACCCTGCATTCACTATATCTGGTCTCCCAGGACCCTGCATCAGCTATATCTGGTCTCCCAGAACCCTGCATTCACTCTATCTGGTCTCCCAGGACCCTGCATCCACTATATCTGGTCACCCAGGTCCCCTGCATTTCACTCTATCTGGTCTCCCAGGACCCTGCATTCACTATATCTGGTCTCCCACAGTACACACAACATGGAAATGCAATTATTTTAGTAAATATAAACTGCTAAATATACCTTTTCCTCATCAGCAGTTAGAGCAGTCTTTGACTTTCATCAGTGTTTCAGCAGAGCACTATTAAAGCTTGTAGGAGGAGTTTTCTTTCTGCTCTAGGAGAATGCAGGCTTTCATCTTGTCTGGGAGGCGCAGGGCAGTTGTGCATTTTGCCCCCTTATAAATATGGCACTGACAGGGGTGCTTACATTGATCAGCTTTTATTTATTTATGTAAAATCCCAAAAGAAAAAAAAAACTGCTGTAACTGCTTATAAAGCGTGAGCTGGAGTTCGGCTTCAACTTGTTACTGTATTTAAAGTGTTACTAAACCAAGGACCCCGCATTCACTATATCTGGACTCCCCGGACCCTGCATTCACTATATCTGGTCTCCCCGGACCCTACATTCACTATATCTGGTCTCCCAGGACCCTGCATTCACTATATCTGGTCTCCCCGGGCCCTGCATTCACTATATCTGGTCTCCCAGGACCCTGCATTCACTATATCTGGTCTCCCCAGGACCCTGCATTCACTATATCTGGTCTCCCCCGGACCCTGCATTCACTATATCTGGTCTCCCCGGACCCTGCATTCACTATATCTGGTCTCCCCCAGACCCTGCATTCACTATATCTGGTCTCCCAGGACCCTGCATTTCCTATATCTGGTCTCCCAGGACCCTGCATTCCCTATATCTGGTCTCCTCGGACCCTGCATTCCCTATATCTGGTCTCCCAGGACCCCGCATTCACTATATCTGGTCTCCCAGGACCCCGCATTCACTCTATCTGGTCTCCCTAGACCCCGCATTCACTATATCTGGTCTCCCTAGGACCCTGCATTCACTATATCTGGTCTCCCCGGACCCTGCATTCACTATATCTGGTCTCCCCGGGCCCTGCATTCCCTATATCTGGTCTCCCCGGACCCTGCATTCACTCTATCTGGTCTCCCAGGACCCTGCATCACTATATCTGGTCTCCCAGAACCCTGCATTCACTCTATCTGGTCTCCCAGGGACCCTGCATCCACTATATCTGGTCTCCCAGGTCCCTGCATTCACTCTATCGGTCTCCCAGGACCCTGCATTCACTATATCTGGTCTCCCACAGTACACACAACATGGAAATGCAATTATTTTAGTAAATATAAACTGCTAAATACCTTTTCTCATCAGCAGTTAGAGCAGTCTTGTGACTTTCATCAGTGTTCAGCAGAGCACTAGTTAAAGCTTGTTAGGAGGAGTTTTCTTTCTGCTCTAGGAGAATGCAGAATCTTGTCTGGGAGGACGCAGGGCAGTTGTGCATTTTGCCCCCTTATAAATATGGCACTGACAGGGGTGCTTACATTGATCAGCTTTTATTTATTTATGTAAAATCCCAAAAGAAAAAAAAAACTGCTGTAACTGCTTATAAAGCGTGAGCTGGAGTTCGGCTTCAACTTGTTACTGTATTTAAAGTGTTACTAAACCAAGGACCCCGCATTCACTATATCTGGACTCCCCGGACCCTGCATTCACTATATCTGGTCTCCCCGGACCCTACATTCACTATATCTGGTCTCCCAGGACCCTGCATTCACTATATCTGGTCTCCCCGGGCCCTGCATTCACTATATCTGGTCTCCCAGGACCCTGCATTCACTATATCTGGTCTCCCCGGACCCTGCATTCACTATATCTGGTCTCCCCGGACCCTGCATTCACTATATCTGGTCTCCCCAGACCCTGCATTCACTATATCTGGTCTCCCAGGACCCTGCATTCACTATATCTGGTCTCCCAGGACCCTGCATTCCCTATATCTGGTCTCCTCGGACCCTGCATTCCCTATATCTCTGGTCTCCCAGGACCCTGCATTCACTATATCTGGTCTCCCAGGACCCCTGCATTCACTCTATCTGGTCTCCCCAGACCCCGCATTCACTATATCTGGTCTCCCTAGACCCTGCATTCACTATATCTGGTCTCCCCGGACCCTGCATTCACTATATCTGGTCTCCCCGGGCCCTGCATTCACTATATCTGGTCTCCCAGGACCCTGCATTCACTATATCTGGTCTCCCGGACCCTGCATTCACTATATCTGGTCTCCCCGGACCCTGCATTCACTATATCTGGTCTCCCCAGACCCTGCATTCACTATATCTGGTCTCCCAGGACCCTGCATTCACTATATCTGGTCTCCCAGGACCCTGCATCCCTATATCTGGTCTCCTCGGACCCTGCATTCCCTATATCTGGTCTCCCAGGACCCCGCATTCACTATATCTGGTCTCCCAGGACCCCGCATTCACTCTATCTGGTCTCCCTAGGACCCCGCATTCACTATATCTGGTCTCCCTAGACCCTGCATTCACTATATCTGGTCTCCCCGGACCCTGCATTCACTATATCTGGTCTCCCCGGGCCCTGCATTCCCTATATCTGGTCTCCCCGGACCCTGCATTCACTCTATCTGGTATCCCAGGACCCTGCATCAGCTATATCTGGTCTCCCAGAACCCTGCATTCACTCTATCTGGTCTCCCAGGACCCTGCATCCACTATATCTGGTCTCCCAGGTCCCTGCATTCACTCTATCTGGTCTCCCAGGACCCTGCATTCACTATATCTGGTCTCCCACAGTACACACAACATGGAAATGCAATTATTTTAGTAAATATAAACTGCTAAATACCTTTTCTCATCAGCAGTTAGAGCAGTCTTGTGACTTTCATCAGTGTTCAGCAGAGCACTAGTTAAAGCTTGTAGGAGGAGTTTTCTTTCTGCTCTAGGAGAATGCAGAATCCCTAACCTCTGTCTGGACAGTGCTGATTGGCCCTGTGCTGATCACATGCACTCTCCCAAGAGCAAAAAAACCTCTCTAGCAATACACACTGAAATGAGGATGTGCGGAGTGACTAAGGGGGGGGGGGGGGGCACTGGAAGAAGGGGAGGATCAGAGAAGACAGGATCAAACAGCCGTTTTACACAATGCAGAGGATTAACCCCTTACCTTCCACAGTGAGTATAACAAGCATGCTTTCCTGCATATACAGACTGATTTTACTGTTGTGGGTTTAAATCTGCTAGTCCATCTAACACCCCCTCCTCCACAGACTGACAATGCTGCTGTCCAAAGGTGCCCCCCTGTGCTCCTTCATCCAGAGTGGGGGCGCTCTAATACAGGAGGCGTATTACTGGCCAGACCACCAAGTGAAAACAGAGCGGGGGGGGGGGGGGAGCCAGCTTACACATTATGATCAGTTACAGCAAACTGTTTTTTTTCCTTTTGGGATAAAGATTTGACAGAAATAAATAAAAGCTGATTGTTGTAAGCACGCCTGTCATTGGTAAATGGTTCACCTCAACCCTGCTACATATAGTTACATAGTTACATCCACTGGACAGCTTTCTCTTTTGAACGGCAGACATACTGGCCAGATCAGCAGGTGCAAATAGAAGACAGAAAGCCTAACAAAAGAAAACTAATGCAGCCATCACATCTAAGAATTATTCCTATATTTTATTATTGATATCATTTCATTATACATTTAATACATTTAATACATTTTTGTTTATGGGTTTAATGTGGCATTATATTAAACCCAAGAGCAAACGTTTCTCATATTGCATATTAACCAATCATTGCATGTGATGGCTTCTTTAGTTTTCTTTTTATGCTTTCTTTCTTCTGGTTTCATCTGGTGATCCAGCCAGAAAGTCTGTTGTTTTTCAAAAGAACAAGATCTCCAACAGAATATCAGTTTAGAGTGATGAGACAAACCATTTATCACTGACAGGGGTGCTTACAATAATCAGTGTCTATTTATTCATGGAAAATGTTCATCCTAAAAAGAATAAAACTGTTTGCTGTGATTGCTTATAAAGAGTGAGCTGGAGTTTGGCTTCAATTTGTTAGTGTATCTAAATCTGCTAGTCCATCTAACATCCCCTTCACCAAGACTGACAATGCTGCTGTCCAAAGGTGCCCCCTGTGCTCCTTCATCCAGAGTGGGGGCACTCTCATACAGGAGGTGTGTTACTGGCCAGACCACCAGCTGAACACAGAGGGGAAAAAAAGCCAACTTATGCAGGCCATAGACGGGTCGTTTATCGGCCGAATTTTCGTCCGCATGAAAAATCGGCCAATATTCACGCCGTTAGTGGGGCCAGCCTGTCGGGCGTTTTTCGCGGATCTTCTCATTTCTTTTTATCGGTGATGTTGGAAAATCCACGAAAAATGGCCGTTTTTTTGTGGACATTGGTGGCAACGTTCTGGACGCGTTTTTGCATGCTCATTTTTGACACGTTTTAACGGTGCATTTTTGATGCGTTTTTTTACGCATTCCAGTGTTTTGTATACATTCCAGTTCATTTTTCCCCTCTCTTTTTCTTCAATTTAAATAGGGACGTGTGTTCAATTTTGGTGCGTTCTGGTGTGCCTTTGATGCGTTTTAGGGTCAGTTCCCGCTTTAAAAATGCAGTCAAAATGCGTTCCAGATGTCTTTTTGCATGCATGTTTTTGGTGCGTTCCAGTGCATTTTTAGCGCATTGCAGTGCGTTTTTTATGCATTCCAGTTAATTTTTTTCTCCTCTCTTTTTCTTCAATTTAAATAGGAACATGTGCATTCCTGCGTGTTTTTGGTGCATTTTGGTGCGTTCCGGTGCAATTTTAATGCGTTTTACTGCTTTCCAGTGCAGTTCTGTGCAGAAAAAATGCCGCCTGTTCTACTTTTTTTGCCTGCACCTGGAACGCACTGGAACTGCAAGCACTGATGGGATCTATGACATTGACAACCATATAACCTTCTTTCTGTGCATTTTGAATGCAGAAAAAAAAGCAACAGAAACGCATGTAGTGTGAACTGACCCTTAGGCTGGGTTCACACTTGCGCGGTGCGGCATATCGCATGTGATTCGTGAAAAAAAACCGCACTGCATTCCTGTGCAAATCACATGTGAATTGTATGCAGTGTGATTGAAGCCATACATCTTGTATGACTCAAATCGCACGGCATCCGCACCCTTTTTTTGGTCCACAGTAGAATCGGATCGCATGGGTGTGATTATTCACATGGCACTGCATCTAGAATCGGATCGCATGGGTGTATTCACATGTGCATCTAGAATCACATGGCACATGCACCATCTAGAATCGGATCGCATGGGTGTAATTATTCACATGGCACTGCATCTAGAATCGAATCGCATGGGTGTAATTATTCACCTCGCACTGCATCTAGAATCGGATCGCATGGGTGTAATTATTCACATCGCACTGCATCTAGAATCGGATCACATGGGTGTATTATTCACATGGCACTGCATCTAGAATCGGATCGCATGGGTGTGAATTATTTACATGGCACTGCATCTAGAATCGGATCGCATGGGTGTGATTATTTACATGGCACTGCATCTAGAATCGGATCGCATGGGTGTAATTATTCACATGCACTGCATCTAGAATCGGATCGCCTGGGTGTGATTCTTCACCTCGCACTGCATCTAGAATCGGATCGCATGGGTGTAATTATTTCACATGGCACTGCATCTAGAATCGATCGCATGGGTGTAATTATTCACATGACACTGCATCTGGAATCAGATCGCCTGGGTGTAATTATTCACATCTCACTGCATCTGGAATCGGATCGCATGGGTGTGATTCTTCACATGGCACTGCATCTAGAATCGGATCACATGGGTGTGATTCTTCACCTCGCACTGCATCTAGAATCGGATCGCATGGGTGTGATTATTCACTTCGCACTGCATCTAGAATCGGATCGCATGGGTGTAATTATTCACCTCGCACTGCATCTAGAATCAGATCGCATGGGTGTGATTCTTCACATGGCACTGCATCTAGAATCGGATTGCGTGGGTGTGATTATTCACATCGCACTGCGTTTTGTGGACTGATTTCGGGGTGTTGTTAACATACACACCTGCTGCGGTTCTCATGAATGGGGTGCGATTGTGATGCAGTGTGGAATTCGCCCAGAAAACGCTGCCAGTGTGAACACGGGCTGAATGCCAATGATATTTGTATTGTTATAGATATTCTATCGCAGTGTCTGTAGTAGTGGACGGATGTTGTACGGTGTGGATGATATTTGTATTGTTTTTAGTCGCTCTATCGCAGTGTCTGTAGTAGTAGTGGATGGATTTTGTATGGTGTGGATGTTGTATGGTGTGGATGATATTTGTATTGTTTTAGTCATTCTATCGCAGTGTCTGTAGTAGTGGACGGATTTTGTATGGTGTGGATGATATTTGTATTTAGTCATTCTATAGTCGCAGTGTCTGTAGTAGTGTATGGATGGATGTTGTACGGTGTGGATGATATTTGTATTTAGTTTGTCTGTAGTAGTCATTCTATTTGGTCATTCTAGGCAGTGTCTGTAGTAGTGGATGGATGTTGTACGGTGTGGATGATATTTGTATTTAGTTTTAGGCATTCTATAGCAGTGTGTACTGTAGATAGTATTGTTTTTAATCATTCTATCGGTGTCTGTATGGTGGATGGATTTTGTACGGTGTTTGGATGATATTTGTATTTAGTCATTCTATCGCAGTGTCTGTAGTAGTGGAGTGGATGGATTATTTGTACGGTGTGTAGATGATATTTGATATTTGTATTTAGTCATTCTATCGCAGTGTTGTCTGTAGTAGTGGAGTGTCTGATGTGGATGGATGTTGTACGGTGTGGATGATATTTGTATTTA